CAGGAGGAATTTGGTTCTGGCAGCTTGGCTGCTCCTGCCTCTCTTGGTTGGCTGCTTTTCTCTCCATGGTAAGGGCTCACCTGCAGCTCCACCCTCTCCCAGGCTGATCCTGGCAGCAGGACCAGCTCCTGGGTGAGTTTGTGCTGCTGGTGGATTGTCCTTCAAATATGCAAATCTATTTTTCATCCTAAATAAAGGATGGGAGCAAAGCTCATCTATTTCTTTCTCCTTGTGGTGTGTTTGGCTTTCTTTATTGCCCATCACTCCATGTGAGATTTCTGGATTTGTCCTTAAAAGCTTCGTGGAATAAATATTTCATTTGAACTCTTTCAAAAGTATTGGTAGATTGTTTCTAATATTGACTGAAATTGGCAGTTCCTTAATGAAAGTTTTGCTTTGCTTTTCTCTTCCTTTTAATTGAGCTGTTGCAGAACAGCCCCCCCACCCTGGGTCTGGTAATGCCTGTGGGGGTTTGATGCTGGAAAAATGACTTGGGGGAAGAAAATTAATGGGTAATAAGCTTCATTTCCATTGGCATTGTAACAGCACATTTCAATTTATCAGAAACACGTATTACCAAAATAACACTTTGTCAAAGCCCTTCCCTCCTTGTGATCAACAGCAAGTGATGTTTTACTGAATTTCCAGCAGACAGGTGGGGTGAAAGGCAGCACAAATGGTTCAGTTGTGCTGCTGTCTGGTGTTGGAGGCTATCAGTGATTTATTCCTTGTCCTCAGGGCCCCACACAGCGCCATGTGCAGATCATCATGGAGAACCTGCTGAGGACAGTGAACAGAACCGTGATTTCCATGGGCCGGGACTCAGAGCTCATTGTGAGTAAACTCAAACACCTCTGTCCCATCTCCCTGAGCCTGCCTGTAATAGGATTGCAGTCCCAGGTGACCCAGAGCAATCAAAACCTCCTCTCTCTGCCTGCTCAGGAAGCTGCAAAGCACTGCCTGGTAATTTTGCTGTGCTTGGCACAGGGGAAGAGCAAAAAAAAGGCTTGAAAAATCTCTGTGAGCAGGTGATTAGCCAGGATTGATATCTGTGTGCACCAAAATGATGTAGTATTGGTAATTAGCCAGCTGAGAAGTGTGGAAATGAGACTTGGCTGTTGTTACTGCTTTACAAGCATTTACTTGTCTTTTTGACTTAAATTGAGATAACCAAGGTGGGTGTTCAAATGACTGAAGAGCAGAGCCCAAAGTCATGTTTAGAGGAAGGACTGATGCAAGCAACCCTATTGACGTAACACTGTGATTTTAAAGCCTTACACTTGAATTTTTATGCTGGTAATTAATGAATATTGGACTAAATAATGAAAAAAAAAAGTGAGGCTTGTTGATATCTGAGCTGGGGATAGATCTGAGTGTGTTTTTGGGGGTCTCTCGGTGTGTTTGCCTTTCTCTTGTATTCTTTCAGCTGGCTGCAGCTGGCAGCTGATCTCTCCAGGGAAGTGGTTGAAGTGAGCCAGGTCTGTGCTGTGTCTGAGCACTTGTCCCTCAGTTCTGCATCAATTTGGGCCAGTCTGGCTCAATGCACTGATTTCTTACCATGGGGTTAATTGGTAGTCAGATAGATGAGTCCATCAGCAACTTGGTTTTTTGATCTCCTCTTTCCTTCCCCGTTGAAATTCTCCCTGTGATGGCACACAGTGATATTTGACTTTTACACACGGTGATTTTTGACACAGGGCTCTGTGTCTTCAGCACTTCTTCCTTGGCATTTGGGGGTGCTCATGTTGATAAACCTGCTGCGGTTTCATTTTGTCTTTGGTGCCTCATCCACCGGCTCAGTTTTGGTCTCCTGCTTGTATCACTTGGGGTTTTGCTGTAAGGAAGGGATAATGGATCTCCAGATCCATTGCTGGAGCAAGAAATCACAGAATCCCAGGATGGTTTGGGTTGGAAGGACCTCAAAGCTCATTTTATTCCAGGGACAGGGACAATTCCACTGTCCCAGGCTGCTCCAAGCCCTGTCCAGCCTGGCTTTGGGCACTTCCAGGAAGGGGAATCCACAACCTCTGTGAGGAAATGGTTCCAAGCAGAACATTCCTACAGAATATTCCAGTGCTGGGATGAGCAGTGCAAGGAAGTCAGACTTGGGTGTTATTTTAACTTCCTCAGATTCAGGCTGAATGAGAGTTAATTACTGTTTTGATGAAGGTGGTGCAGGTGATATTTAAAAACGTTAATTATGCCTTTTGCAGTTAGCAGAGGAGATTGGAAAAGCTGTGTGTGTGTTTGAACTCAGAGCAGTGATATTAAAGATCTGCATTGTGCTCCTGAGCACAGCCTGCCGTCCCTCAGCCCAGCCTCCATGATCAGCTAATGAACACTGAGATTTCAGGGTGTTTTTAATGAGTACTTACTCCTACCTTACAATGCAGCCCTTGCTGAGGAGATTCCCCTGTTAAATAACCAGCCACAACTCATTTTTGTGGTGTCAGCAAAGTAGGAACAGTAAAATTATGATTAATAATAATAATTTGGAAGCACAGCCTGACCTCTCTTACATCAGATTTGGGTTGAAATGATGCAGTGACTTTCCTTTTTTAGTTTTACCTGTAGTAGAGAATTAACCATGACTGGAAGGAAGGAATTTAAAATATCTGACAGAGTTAAAGTAATGATGATTTCTTTAAAAGAAGTAAAATACAGGACATAACCAACTTTTATTTTATAAATATAACTGTGCTGGTGTCCTAAAGCTGGCATGTTTTCTCCCCGGAAAAACACTCAGTGACACCATCTCTATCCAAAACCTGACGTTGCATAATGCAGTTTATGAGCAGTGGAGTAATGTCAAGGATTTAAGTGCTCAAGTGAGAAGTTTTGATTACAGGATGAGCCTTTTCTGCAGCATTGAACTGGAAGGGTTCTCCAATAGTCCCCTTTGGCTTTTTTCCTCCTTAAATGTGAGTTCCTCGATAAAATCAAAGGCAAGTTTTGTCCTATAACTTCAAAAGAGAATTACCTTGAAATAAGAGACCAGTTGCAAGGAGAAGAACCAGATATTAAGTGAAGGGAAGTAGAAATGATAAGTTTAAAATCTGGTTTGACAATAATTGTGTTAGCAAAAGCGTTTGTAATCCTCATTGGTCTGTTTTTCCCTCTGTAAGTCTCACTGGTGGTTTTTACTTGATCCATTTTCTGAGTAGAAGATTCTAATATTATTTATATTTGTTTTATATGATGATTGTATTGTTAGTACAGGATGCAGCCTGAGGGTGCTGAGCTGCTCCAAACTGCCTGGTTTAGGTTAAGTTTGCTCCTGCCTTGAGCTGCTGCTGCTCCTGGCCCAGGGAGAAATCACCTGGAAAAAAAATCACAAAACCTTTCTTACTGAAGAAAACATTGCTTGAAGAAAAAGTAAATAGAGCAAGCTTCCTTGAGCCTTTGGAAGAGTGGCTTTAAATCTTGTATTTCCTTTCCGGGTGGCTTTTGGGCAGCGTTGGGTTCTGTGTGAGGCAGCATCTCGGCCTGCTCCAGTAAATCAGGACAGAGCAGCCTCGGTGGCAGCTCCAGAATGATCCATGGCTGCTCCTTGTCCTCCTGTCAGCAGCTTGGGATGGGCCTCATTCCCAAAGGAAACCATGCTCTGTAGTTCCTGAAGGGAAATCTCCTGGCTTAGAGTAAGATTGGGTTGGAACGAGACAGTGTCCAAGGTCACTTGCAACCCAAACCATTCCATGTTCCTGTGGTGTTAACTTCCAAAAATGTCCTTAAGCAGAGTGGAAGACATCTAAAGGTGTATGGGGAACAAAGTCAGTGACTCCTGACTCCTGTGAGCAGAAAAATGGGTTATTTTGGGTGTTGGAGTGTGTGAGGGGGAGCACTGGGCAGGATTTGTGGTGTTGCTGTTGAGTGGAAATTTCTCCTCTTTGCTGTTTCCCCTCTGTGCTCTGGGATGGGGATGAGGTGAAACCAGAACAGAAATGAGGCAGGAGCCATCAAAAGGAGAAAAAGGGAATTTGTGGGATCTGTCTGAGGTTTCTGGAAGGAGATTGAGATGGGAATCTCTGTGGGGTGCAGGTGACTCCTGACACAAGGACAGCGTAGAGCAGAGTGGCACTGATGGGGGAGCTCTGGATAATCAATCAGTCAGTCAGTCAATCACCATGGTGGACTGTCCATCTCTCAGCACTTCCAGGCTGCAGGCCTCTCCAGAAGGATATAAAATATATAAAATACAGGTGCAAACCTGAAATCAGAGTTATTGATGGTCACAGGAGGCTTCTGGGCCTGCAGGTTGTTATTGAAGAGTTAAATCTGGGTGTAAATTATCTTCCTGTGCCTTAAAATCTGCCTAGGTCAGGCTTCATGGATTCCAAAATTGGAGAGAAAACCACATTTTCTTCACCAGATTTCTTCCATGTAAAAATACTTTGCTTTATTGAGTCACATGTTTTCTTCTCTTTCAAAATCATTTGAAATTACATATTGCAAACTGGTTTCACTGAAACTGAGGTGATATTTGGATGGTGGCTGTGATTTTATTCCATCACTAATACTGAACTTTTTTGGTGTTGCCAGACCATCCCTGTTGCATTCCCTACCAACATTTATGGCAAGGAGCTGCACTCACCTCAACAAATGGACACATTTGTAGCACTCCAGTTATTTTAATGAACCACAGATGGCTTTTATGGAATATTCAAAATCTTCACACACGTCCCTTTCGTTCTCCCAGACAAAATGGTGTTGGTGCCGTTGGATTTTTAGTGGCAATCTGGTTCAATTCTAGCTCAATTCCAGCAGCAATATATAATGTGTGGTAATACACAGGTCCTGGTGTAATCTAACAGCTGACTTGGTTGGGAAGTTCATGAAAATTTACTCTATTTGACTGGAAAAAGTGATTTAAGCTTTAAAACATTGAGTGAAATCAAAGGCATGGACAGTGGTTTTGCATTTTAGGCAAGAAAAAGCAAACACTTTGTACCCATGGTAGGATTTTCCAGTTTTAATCATGTTTCTTTTTTCACTTTATCCTGTTTTTTTTTTAAAGTATTTTTACAGTTATTTTTGTTTTTCATCTTTGAGAAACCAAGTGCTACTCACAGGAATAGTGTTTTCCTCCTAGTTCTAAACCTAAGAATGCAGCTGTTGCTGTGTGGAAATTATAAGGACTCAGCAAAGAGCAAGGGATATAAAATCACTGCAGTATTTATTGGCTAAAAAGTATTTTGAAGCAGGAGATGGGAGAAGTGCAGCTAGAAAATCAGTGTATGAGTGCAGGGGACTGCCAGTGAATCCAGCAAAGCCACACTGAAAATAAAAATGCATTTTCCTCATTAGAACCTCCAAGATCTTCTACATGAGGGTGAAAATAGCTCTGTCACATTGAACTAAAAGCTCTAAAGAATTAGGTTTGTTGTTTTTCTCTTGGTGTCTATCTAACCTGAGCCTGAGTGATTCTAAAGGCAATACAATTATGATACATTTTACACACTTGCAAAAACATTTTATTACAAAGTACATCGGAGGGTACCAGAGAACACGAGATGTCAGTTGGAAGCAAGACTCTATGGTAATGTCAGCTTTCCCCAGGTTTAAAAAAATGTAAAAAATTAAAAATTTGCAACTTCTTAAGAAAATAGCCTGGACATGTACAGAACACGCCGTGAGAACTTTCCCTTTGAGCTCTTTGTTTCTCCAGCTGGAGTTTCCTCCCTCTTTTGCCCTGATTCCAGGAGCTCTGGATCACTCAGGGTCCCTGCACACACAAAGCTACTGAGGATTTGGGAATTGATTGCCATGGAGAGATGCTTGGTTTAATTTCCTTAAAAAGCCCCGAACACTAGGCCTGTTAGCATGGAGGAGTGCATTAGGTGTTGTTTTTTTAATAATGAATACTGCTGTATTTTCCTTTTTCTGCCCATTTTTGAGATTGCTTTCTGCTTTTAAAAAAAAAGTATTTTTTTAATTTGGAAATATTTGGGTTTCTAAGCCATGTTGTGTGGGCTGTTTTGTAAACAGTTCTATATTTTAGTTAAAAACAATATAAAATACATGAAATAGGGTTTTTTTCCACATGAAACAATGGCACTTCCTTGTGTACAGGATCACCTTCCTAATCCTTCAACTCCCACCAGAGGATTTCAGGATTTGCTGCTGTGCAAGAACTCATAGCCCTCTTGAAGGTTTACTGCAAATATTGAGCTGGCCAGAGGCATCTTCTGCATTTCCTTTCCCATTTTAATTTGCTTTTCTTGCTCTTTGAAGGGAAAAAAAAAAATTAGGTTATTTTCCTCCAGTTTCCTCTCAGGAGTAAATTGGATGCTGAGCTAAGAGGAGAAACAGTGAAAAACACTTCCCCAAATTTTTAGTCTGTGCAAATTAATGATCACAGTCCTTGCACCTAAAGGCTGAAGAATTTGTACCTTCCTGCTGCTACAGGGGATGCAATTTCAAACCCAGTTTGTCACACGACACTCAAATGATCTGAAATCCTTGTGCTAAAATCCCAAACCAAAGCAAAAGACAAGATTCCCACTCCCTGGCCACTTCTAGTGTGAGGAATTTTTCCACCAATGATCATTTTAGATGCAAGTTTAATGGCAATAGCAAATACTTAAAGGAAAAGTTGCAGCTTATAAGTCAGAGCAAAATTTTTAGTGCCATTTCAGAAAAACCCAAACCAAATTAGGAAAAATCTGATTCACATCTCTCTCCTAAGCGTTTCAATTACTGAGTACAATTAATAGATTGAGATATAAATTATAATAAGCTGGGAAACCCATCTGAGCAGCTTAACAAATAAATAAATAAACAGCATTTCCAATTTCAGCTCCTTCCAAGCAGTGCTGCAGCCTGGACATCTCCTGGTGCCTTCTGCAGCAGTGGAGAGGTTTTTCCAAAGACTGTTAGAAAAAAATACTAACCCATGGCAAAGGCCAACAATCCGGACTGGGATGGGTCTGCTTTGGGGCTGGGTTTTGTTCCTGTGTGGTTGAAACCTTTCCAAGGTGACACTGAGGGGTTGTCCATGGCCTGGACCCTGTGAGCTGGAGGTGCTTGAAGGCTGGGCCTGATTTTTGGGAGGTTTCTGGCCGCTCCCCTGCTGGGGCTGAGCAGCAGAGTGGTTCTTCTGGTGGTGAGGACACAGCTAAACCAGAGATGAGGTTGAAATGTGAGAGCTTGGTTGGAGTTTACATCGCATGAAGGCAGAGAATACACCACAGTCACGTCTCGGAGATCGGCGCGGCCGCGGGCCGCGGGAAAAATTGTGCTTTGTCCAGGAATTCTGTGCTGAAAACTGCACTCCCCGATCAACATGGAGCTGTAAAACTCAACACCACTGCAAACATAAGGCTTGCTGCTGATTTTCCCCCTCCTTGCTGTCCAGAGACAACAACCCAGACCCCCAAAAGGCCTCCACCATTCCTGGGGGAGCAGGATGCCGGCCTACGCCTAACGGGTCGGAGCGCCGCGCTTTCGGATCTGAGGAGGGGAGGGGAACAGTTTTACTTCCCATCTTTGTCCAAATTTCCACTCAGGTTTTACATCCCACATTGGCAAACTGCGAGTAGAAGTGGGCAGGGGGTTCCCAAGCCCGTGCTGCTGGGCAGAGTCCGTCGCTACAAAGGCCTTTTTGGTACGCGCGGTGAGAGCTGGACGCTGCCCCTGGCCAGGCCGCTGCTCCTGCCACCAAATCCCATCAGAGACGATGGATACAACTCCACATATTTGTCAAAGAAGGCCTTGAACTCCACACGTCATGGACTTGGGTTAAAGGAACCAGAGTTTCCATCTTCCATGCTTTTTGGATTCAGTTTTGGATTTTTGCTTGGGAGTCGAGGAGTAGCTCTCCTGAGAATAAGGCAAAGGTGCAACCTGAGTTTCCTCAATAGGATGAAGTTTTCTCAAAACTGGCTGTAGTTTATCTTCTTGCTGTTTAAAATCCAATTCCACGCTAGAAATGGGAAGAGAAAAGCACTCATTAATTATGATGATAAAAAAATTAATTAACCCAATGTCTAAGTGCTTAATTTATGGAAGTCAATAAATACTTCTTGCATGAAAGTGGAAAGGAGAAGTTCAAAAAGGGACATTACAGAAGAAAAATAGGAATGGGATTGTTCAGGAGGGTTAAGGAGGGTCTTGAGGATTATGATGGAGGTGCTGAGAAGTGACTGAACATGAGAAATCCAACTTTTTTTTTGGTGGAGAAATGCTTTTTGAGGGCTTCCAGGCTCAGTTCTCCCTTCTGGGAGGTCGGGGTGGCAGCCAGGCACCTGCATCCTTGTTCTTTGGGGAAAGCTGAGAGCTTGGCCAAAAGCAAGGAGACTGTCCCAGAAATTCTTTACCTCAGCTGTTCCTTGCCACTTTTACCATGGAGAAGATTAATTTCATCAAGTTCCTGTTGTATTTATAGACTCATCTACATGTGGGGAATAAATAGATCAATTAAAAAGCAGTTCTCCTTTATAGTGCATCCTTGCCTTCAGAAAACAGACAGAAGCTGTAAAATCCCTGTCCTGAATTCCAGACACTGTTGCTACAAAATCCTTCCAGCAATTGAGAACCACAATTGAGATGAAATTCCAGCCCTTATTTGAGCTTTGTGCTGCAGGGCATTTTGAGACCGCCTTAAAACCAAAGGAACCACAGCATAAAATGGAGCAAGAGTCCTGTCTAATGGTGGAAACTGAATTTTGGCCCTCGGAACTACCCAGAACTTTGGGTGGTTTTGGTTGGGTTTGTGCAGCAGCCTCTGGGCCACGCTCTGCACTGAGGCTGTTCCTGTCTTGTGTAGAATATTTGGGGCTGGAAGGGGCCTTTGAAGGATTCCTGTTGAGTGGGGCCTCTGGATATCAGAGGATAAATTTAAAAGGGTGAAATTTTGGGAATTTAGACACCTGGATTAAATGATGTGTTCCTTGTTCCCCTCCACTGCTGAGCTGTCTTGGGATTTGCATTGGCTGCTTTTATTGTTACCTAAATATGGAGTTATCATTCCTGAGCTTGAGCTCACTTTTAATTAGGATTAAATATGTTTTCTGAGGTATTTCTGCCATTGCTTGTTTGGAGTGAACTGTTGGAGAAATGAGATCTGCTTCCCCAGGTCTCATCCGTAAAGAGATTACTGTAAACTTCAGTGTAAGCCCTGTCTGATTTAAGGAGAGCAGGGACATGGCACAGAACACCTGCAGCCATTTCCAGGGAATTCTCCAACAGAATCATTAGGGTTGGAAAAGACTCCAAGATTTCCAGGGGGAGATGTGGGTGGACGTCACCTTCCACAGGCTTTGTCATCAAATGCCATCTGCTGATTTAGGTGGGGTTTATTTTCCTCTTGGGAATCAGAGATGCTGAGAGAAGGGTAAGGAGAATTTTGTGCTTTGTTTGATTTTTTTAAGATCTGGTGATTCTGACTGGAAGAACTCTGGTGGAGCCCCAGAAATTGGTGCTGGAAAGATGTGAGGTCTTTTTACATCTGGCTGTGCCTAATTTGGTGTTTGGTTTGAGTGTACATCCATTTTTAGCAAAAGTTTTGTCATTTCAGTGATTTGGGTGAACTTCAATAGCAGAGAAAAGAAATACATTAGGTAAGAATTCAAATAGAGTATTTTACCCATTGCTGTGTTTATAATGAATAAAAAGCCATTTAGCCATTTCAAATCAAAGATAATTTTAAAAAATTTCAGCTCAATGCTGGAAGTATAGAATGGTGAGTTTTCAGGAGGCAGCTGTATTGGTGCAGAATCACATTCCAAGCCTACTGCTTAATATCCCTCTCTGTGAATGGAAAAACAATGTTATCTTCACTGCTGACATGTTCTGTGTGCTCTGTGGCTGCCAAAAACCACTTGGTTAGAGAAGTTCAGCATGAATTTAGTGGTGAGATGTGGATATCAGCTCATTGGGAATGTCCCAGCACAGGAATTCCGTCAGTGAGACAGAGAAAATCTTGGAATGTGGGAGATGCTTCTTTAAGAGCTCCCTAAAATCTCATTTAAAGTGCAGCATTTAGCATGTGTTGTATCTGGTTTTGGGTTTTTTTTTTTTCTCAGTATCAGGGTTTTTTTGGGAAAAAATAAAAAGGCCTTTCAGCTCTGGCATTGCCTGAGTTCATTTTTACTCCTTTCAAACATTATTCTTGCAGGGAAGCTCTTAAGAGCTGCTGAAAATTGCTGGAAAAAAAAGAAATTGTTATAAAACCCCCTTGCTGAAGAGAGTAATTTTTTATATAATCAATTTCTATTAAAGATAGACCTCAAGAGGAAAAAAAAAAGCATCTTAGTTCTGGTCCATCTGACAGGCCCCATGTTATTGCTGCTGCAGCACAGATCAGCTTTCAGCTCTTCACATCCAAGGGAAATATTTTGCTTCTGAAGGGTATAAAGAGGCTGAAGGGAAAACATTTGTGTTATTTCAGCATTTAGAACTGTGAATTTTGCAGAATAATTGATTGGTGTCTATCAGCATCAATTTATCCAGCACTGGAGGTGTTTTAATGGAATTGCTCCGTCAGGCAAATTATTTGATTGCAAACTTAGGCTTTAATTTTTGTGCTGCAGAAATAAGACAAAGACCTGTTTTGTGTTTTTTTGTTTTTTTTTTTTTAATCACATATCTATGTTATCTACAGCTGACTATTTTTACCTTTAATTTTGTATCAATCATATGAAATACTACTAATCATGATCAATGACAGATGGCCAGAAAGGTTTGGGTTGGAAGGACCTTCAGGACCATCCAATTCCAACCTTCCACTATCCCAGGTTGCTCCAAACCCTGTCCAGCCTTGCCTTGGCCACTTCCAGGGATTAAATTCAGCAAATATTCCATATTTGTAGCACTTCTTGATATTTTTGTTATTGAGCTGTGTTCCTGAGCTCGATTGTGTCACCTGTCACAGCTCTGCCAATCCTGTTTGGCTCAGTGCTATTTCTGTCCCCTCAGCATCTCCAGGTGTCCTCTCTCCAAATGACCTTTTCCTGAAATATCCTCCTGCCATGTGCCTCTTTTCACTTTCAAACTTGCATTTTGTCCCTTAAGCCTGCCCATAATAACTCCATTAATTTAATTATCCAGGACTCTCCTGTTCTCTTGGCATCACACACGGAGATGGGAATTATTTGCTTCAGAAGCATTTTTTCTTTAATAACAGAATCCCATTTTTCAATGGATTGACAATTCTGAACAAGCCCTACAGAAACAAGAGATGAATTTTAAATATTATTTAATAACACAAACCTTGGCCTGACACACCTGGTCAGGACATCCTAAAGCTTCACTTCCCTCCATGTTGTTAAATATTGTTAAATTGGGAGCACTGACTCAGAGTTTTTCCATCTTTAATGCTATCCCAAATTCTTCCTCCAAACAGAGGGGCTGTTTTTATCAACAAGCAGTAAAATTCTGTTTGTGGTAAATATTTCTGTGTTTTCTCCTCAGAATCCCTATAGACTTACAAGGTTTGTAACCAAAACTTCCCATTTTAGGGCAGTTGCCTGTACATCAGTGCTGTCTTTCGGAGGAAAACTGGGCTAAATAAAATCAACTAGCAGCCCTTGGATGATTTGATTTTGGCACCACCCTCACGGGGGAGGATTTTTTCCCCAATATCCCATCCAGCCCTGCCCTCTGGCATTGGCAGCCATTCTTTGTGTCCTGTCCCTCCATCCCTCGTCCCAAGTCTTTTTCCAGCTCTCCTGGAGCCCCTTCAGGGAGATGAATTTTCTCTTTTTGGCTTTCTGTGTTTGACAATATATATTAATGAGTTTACTTTTGCATGCAGGCAGCAGAGAACCTTTTCTAATTTAGTTGAGCTATGAGGGATTGAGAGCAGAATTTGAGGAGTGAGAACCATTGGGATTAAACATATGGACTGTGGGAGGGTTTTGGAGCAACAAGCTCTGAGATATGGATGGGTTTTCTCATTTTCTAGCACAGTCACACGTTGTTGTCATGGATCATTTTCAGGTTTTAGCTGCTCATGATCTGTTGGTTACTGGAGAATTGCTGACTCAGAGAAATCTGGGTTCAGGATGGAGCTGCTGAGGCATTTCAGAGAATCATGGGATCCCAGAATGGTTTGGGTTGGAAGGGACCTTAAAGCTCCTCCCATTGCAACCCCTTGGGCAGGGAAACTCCCACTGTCCCAGGGGCTCCAGCCCCAGTGTCCAGCCTGGCCTTGGGCACTGCCAGGGATCCAGGGGCAGCCACAGCTGCTCTGGGCACCTGTGCCAGGGCTCAGAATCTTCACAGGGAACAATTCCCAATTCCCA